CAAGGAAATGTGTGCATTCAACAGAGGATTTTACTCTCTTATATCTGATTTATTCCATAGGGGTCTGGCAACTGGAATTTACACCACCAACTCGCCCGAAGCTTGTCAGTATGTGGCTGCCAGCAGTGAGGCCAACATCCTGGTAGTGGAGAACCAGAAACAGCTCGACAAAATCCTGCAGGTCAGGAGCTTTATTAGAGTGTTGTAATAACTATTGGTAAAGTTAGAAAAACATCTGTCCTCATATTGTTTAATTTGTATTTCCTCAACAGGTTAAAGATCATCTACCTCATCTGAAAGCCATTGTCCAGTACAAAGGCGAGCTGCAGCAGAAAGCACCATTCCTGTATACAGTACGTTTGCTCAGCAAACATATTGATGTAGCAGATAAGTCACATGGTTGTAGAAAATCTGATCTAAACGGAATTCTTCATGTGATGCCTACAGTTTCACCACTGACCTTTGTAATGCAATCATATTATCTTACTTGTGGTTTAAGAATTGTAATCAAATACATGTGACTGACCTCAAATGTATTAAACTGCACTACATCAGATGCAGTTCAGTTCAGTCTGGATTTAGACTCACTTTATTTAACATTATCTCTGTATTTGTGTAGTGGGCAGAGTTCATGAAGCTGGGAGAGGATGTGCCCGACGAGCAGCTAAATGCTGTGATTGACAGTCTTCGGGCCAACGAGTGCTGTACTCTCATCTTTACCTCTGGAACCACTGGCAACCCTAAAGGATGCATGTTGAGCCATGATAATGTAAGTTATCTGGACAAAATACTTTCCTTTTCTTAGCTTTTATTATATTTTAACTATTTATATATCATTCCTTCTTAGGGCTTGATTGACAATTGTTTTTACCATCAATTAATCTAATAATCAATTAATTATTTAAAAACTCCTGAAAACTGCACATCACAACTTTCCAGAGCCTAAGATGACATCTTCAATTCTCTTGTTTTGTTCGACCAAAAGTCCCAAACCTATAAATGTTCAATTAACAATGATATGTGACAAAGAAAAGCAAATCATCTCACTTGAGAAGCTGGAACCAGAGAATATCTACCATTTCTTCACTATTGAAGTAAAATACAATAAAATAATAACAAATATATAGTTATTATGGTCACATATGATAGAAAACAGCAAATCAACTTGTATTGCAGAAGAAAGAAAAACATTTTAAAAAACACAGCTGAATAAAGGTAAGTTGTTCTTTTGGGAGATACTAGAGCATTTTAACAGCAACAAATAAAGTGTTTATTTATGTAAATGAAGAGGACCCAACATAGAGCCCTGGGGAACTCCAAAAACAGTGTATGTATTATATGCTAACACATCAAATACTATCAGACAGGTAGCACCCAGACCAGACACCTATTGCAAAACTCACTGTTTCCTGCCTCCTTCAAGAGGATTTTTGGAACGAAAGACTGCACCACCATCTCATAAACACTGGCTGGTGGATGTGAAGACAAAACCTCAAACTGAAACAACTAAACCCTACTACTCTTGGCTCAGCCAGAGAGTTTTATAAGATGCTGATAACAGTCTGTGTGAACAATGTGTTTGCTAACTTGTTTTGTGGAAACTAAAGAAAGATATTTGAGTAAATTACTCTGATTCTGGCTCCTCTTTAATATGCAGCTGACATGGACGGTCCACAGGGCAGCTTCCATGCTCAACTTAAAGCACACTGAGGAGAGGATGGTCAGTTACCTGCCGCTCAGCCACGTGGCCGCCCAGCTAGTTGACATGTGGATGTCTATTTTGTGTGCCATGACCACCTACTTTGCAGAGCCAGACGCCCTCAAGGTAAGGATGCCTACTGTTGTATAAACATAGAATTATTAATGGTGGTTTACTATTTTTACTCTAATCCCCAATCATTTTTCCAGGGCTCCTTAGTAAATACACTTAAAGAAGTTCGTCCAACTTGTTTCGTGGGGGTTCCTCGAGTGTGGGAGAAGATGCAGGAGAAAATGAAAGCTGTTGGGGCCAAGGCATCCCCAATGAAGAGGAGAGTGGCGGGCTGGGCCAAGTCTATTGGCCTGCGGTACAACTACAGTGTCATGAACAGGTGAGACAGCAGCAAAGATTCCTTTAGAATTCATGTTAGCGTGCTAACACTTGCTAATTAGCACTAAACACAAAGAACCGCTGAGGCTGATGGGAAGGACATTAGCTCTGCATGCTTCTGTAGTGGTGTTTGACATTTTGACCTAATGATGGCGCTATATGAAAAGTCAGGAAATAACCAAAGTGGTTGCAAATTATCTTCAGAGAGACATGAATGTTTGTACCAAATATAATGGCAATACATCCAATAGTTATTTGTTTCTGGGGCAAACAGACAGAGCAACATTGCCATGTTGGTAATATTTCATTTGGGGCACAGTTCTTAATTCCTAACAAATCTTAACTTCAAACAAACAATGGGTGTAAATTTGACTTTATCTTTTTGGTTACAGGCAGAACCAGGTGCCCTGGGGCTTCATGTTGGCTAATAATCTGGTCTTTAAGAAGGTCCGTGATTCGCTGGGCCTAGACCGCTGCAAGTTATGCTTCACGGGCGCTGCCCCCATCACCAAAGATACTATGGAGTTCTTCATGAGCCTGAACATCCCTTTATTGGAGCTATACGGTATGAGTGAAAGCTCCTGCCCACACACCATCTCCACTGACACCTATTACCACCTCACAAGGTGAGCAGCAAAGCATTATGGAACATTTCAACTATGATTAAAATGTGTTGCTGATATGGATGTGAGAATACTGTGACAACCTGTTTATAATTTTCTCTCCAGTGAAAGTTTTAGTTAAAGTGGAACTTCACAGATTTTACAAATGTTTTGATGATGAGCAAGCTGATGTTCAGCCCCCACCTGAGGTCCTGGCTGATGACCGATCCCATGAAGCTAAAGGACTCCACAAAGTCGACTAGGGAGTCACATAGGGTGATAGGGGCGACTGGGGCTGCGCTCCTCTTAAAATCCACAACTTCCACTGTCTTTAGACTTTTTGCTCTGAGTTGTCATCAGATGGTTAATCACCCACCTGTGGGCGGACTCATCCGCAACAGAGATGAGTCCAATGAGGTGTCGTCCATGAACTTCAAGAGCTTGACGAACTGGTGACTGGAGGTGCAGCTGTTGATGCAAAGGGAGAAGAGCAGAGGGGAGAGAATGCAGCTTTGAGGGGAACCGGTCGGTGCTGATGGTCCGGGACTCTGAGACATGTTTCCCCAGCATCAAGCGTTGCTCAGTGTCAGACAGGAAGTCTTTAATCTACCGACAGATGGAGTTGGGGATGTGCAACTGACAAAGATTGTCCTGCAACAGAGTCGGGATAATGGTAAAATGAGGATCCCTCCCTAATAACTGGTGAATTCCATGTGACGTTTAGCACCGGTTTGTGATGTTTCCTCACTGCAGTGTGCAACATCTTCCTCCAGTATTTGGGATGTTTGTGTTCCAGTTCATTTTGTAAGCACTTTGGGCTGCATCTTTGCATGAACAATGATAAAACAATAAAGTTATTATTATTGTTATTAATATCATAGTTCAACTCACCGCATGTAGAGTATGGGTGTAAGTCTGTCATTGGCCGCGTATCTCACACAGTATCCTCCTCTTCTTCCTCTATCTGTACTATTTATTTACCGTCATTGCATCCTGTGCTTAGCGTCGCCCAAGATGATTGTGATTGGTTTAAAGAAATACAAACAAGCCAGAGCTTTTTTTTCTCCTATACCATGAATGATAATTTGTGGAACTAGACATTTCTTTTGCGCTGACACAGCGCTGTAGAGATAAGTCTGGCTATGCGAAACTATTATTATTATAACTTTTCTTGAGGGTTTGGAAGCAGACATTCATCTGTTTTTTAGAGGTCACAAGTCAAAAAAGTTGGGAACCACTGGTTTAATTAATCACAAATCAGCCAGGTTTGTATATTTTTGCATGAAAATGTTTTTCATAGTGTACTGACATTGTAATATCTTATTTTTTTGTATTAAACTTTAAAGTAGCGGTGCAGTTGTAGCACAACCGTTGGTCAGTTCAGGTCTAAATCAGCATGTTGCTGACTTGTGTTTTGTCTCTCCAGCTGTGGAAAAGTGATGCCAGGCAGCAAGACGAAGCTGGGGAACCCAGATGAGGACGGGAGTGGAGAGATATGTATGTGGGGTCGGCACGTCTTTATGGGCTACCTGGACATGCCGGAAAAAACAGAGGAGGCTCTCGACCAGGACGGCTGGCTGCGCTCTGGAGATCTGGGAAGACACGACCGGAATGACTTCCTGTACATCACAGGAAGGATCAAGGGTAAGCTGTTGTCCCTTTGGAGGGGCCTGACCCCTTGATCCACAGGACTACACTATGTAACTGTATATAATGTTGACCTCCACCAGCTAGTAAAAAGTAAAAAGCTGCTTATTAATTGATGCATGAGTATTAACATTTATCTAATAATGTCATAATATAATATGTATTATTCTGCAGAACAAAGAGTTATACTTTTCATAATTTTGGTACATTTTGCTTAGTTTAGTTATAACGTTGGACTCTGAACATTGTCAAACAGGTGACACACTTTTGAAACTAAACTGTCTTTTTTGCACAGAACTGATCATCACTGCAGGTGGAGAGAACATCCCTCCTGTGCCCATCGAGGATTCAGTGAAGGCCGAGGTGCCCATCATCAGCAACGCCATGCTGATCGGAGACAAGCTGAAGTTCCTCTCCATGCTGCTCACGCTCAAAGTAACCGGGCCTCCATTCCTGCACGCAGTCACAGCTACTGAATAAATCAAACAAACACAATAATGTCCCTTCTCTATTTCCACAGTGTGTGGTGGATGACAGCGGTGAGCCCACAGACGAGCTGAGCCCCGAGGCTTTGATATTCTGCCAGCAGCACAACGTCACAGCCACCAAGGTGTCCGAGATCGTAGCCAATAAGGAGCCGGCGCTCTACCAAGCCATACAGGAAGGCATGGACCGCTCCAACGCCAGAGCAACGTCCAACGCCCAGAAGATCCAGAAGTGGGTGATACTGGAGCGAGACTTCTCTGTCAGTGGAGGTGAACTAGGTGAGTTATTTTGCTTTGCTTCCTTCTTTTGGTATTCAAATAGCAAAATCTGCACACAACATTATAGTTAAGGTAATATTCACTACTGCTGTAATCTAGTTTAATTAGCCTTCAATCAGGGTCATGTCGTAATCAGACAAGGCTTGTGACTGTGCCGCATGCCAGAAAGCATTCCAGTGAACTCTGATTGGTACCGTTTGAATCTCTCCCTCTGAGATATTTTTAAAGCTACAGTGGGTCAAATGTTGTCACCGTGTGAGTGTCGCTCAGCAGAGATTTAAGCTTGAGATTTAGATTTAATTAACCTGCTTTTTTCTTTTTTCCATCTGTGCAGGACCTACCTTGAAACTGAGGAGGCCCATTGCTGTGAAGATGTACCAGGAGGAAATAAATGAATTGTATGCAGTGGCCACGGAAAGACAGTAGACTGTACTGCACAGAGATGAGATAATACCTGGGGCACGTTTGTATTGTGCCCAGACGTCATGTTGAGAAATGTATAAATCTCTTTTTACCTGCATGTTTAAAGTGCAAAAGAGGTTTAAAT